TGATCCTTTGCACGTACACTTCCAGCGCCTCCTCCTTTACTTCGAATGCTCCGTTAAGTTGGTTGACAACGAGGGCCGAGTCATACTTGACCTGGATTTTGTGGGCGCCCAGTTCTTTGGCCATGGTTATGCCGGCAATCACCGCCTCATACTCTGTAGCATTGTTTGTTTTCAAGGTGGCGAATCGCAGCGCTACCTTGTGCATCAAACCTCCCGGGCTTATTATCACAATTCCTGCTCCGGCGCCCGTACGGCTGGCCGCCCCATCGACTTGGACTTGCCAGCAATCATCTGTCCCCTTCTCTGCCTCGGCTATACCTTCCGCGACGAAGTCGGCCAGGAGTTGGGCCTTGATGGCTGGTCGAGGCGCATACCTGACATCGAACTCGCTTAACTGGACTGCCCACTTGACAAGGCGCCCGGCCACGTCCATTGATCCCAACGTGGATTTCAGAGGGAGTTTGGTAAGGACTGTGATGGTGTGGGCTTGGAAGTAAGGTCTCAACTTGGGTGCGGCCATCACAACCGCCAGCGCGGCCTTCTCAATGGGCGCGTATCGCTTTTCGTGGGGAACCATGGTGCGACTGACATAATACACAGGTTTGTCTTCTCCAGAGTGGGCTTCTCTTGCGACGAGCACGGCACTTATCGACACCTCCGACACGGCAATGTAAAGGTATAGTGGTTCTCCCGCCTTAGGCGCCGTCATCACAGTCGTGGCGCTTAAGAGTCGCTTCAATTCTTCGAATGCCCCGTCGCATTCAGTGGTCCATTGGAATCGGGCCGCCTTCTTAAGCGTTCGAAAGAAGGGAGCGGCCTTGTCAGCGGACCGGGGGATGAAGCGCCCCAACACCGCCAGCCTGCCCGCCAGGCCTTGCACTTCTTTGGGCGTCTTCGGGGGGGTTAGCTTAAGAATAGCATCCACCTTCTTCGAGTTGGCTTCTATGCCTCTTTTGGTGATCATGAATCCTAGAAACTTTCCTGCTTCGGCGCCGAACACACATTTGAGGGGGTTTAGTCGGAGCCTATGCGCCCTCATGGCCTGGAATGTCTCACGCAAGTCTTCAATGTGGTCTTCCCGTCTCCGACTCTTGACTATGAGGTCATCCACATAAGTTTCCACATTCCGGCCGATTTGCTGCCGGAAGACGTTGTTAACCATTCTTTGGTATGTGGCGCCCGCGTTCTTGAGTCCGAAGGCTATGACCCGATAGCAGAAGTTTCCAAAAGGCGTCATGAAAGCTGTTTTGGACCGGTCTTCCTCTGCCATGGGGATTTGATGGTATCCTGAAAACATATCCACGAAGCTCAGCATCTCGTGGTATGCCGTGGAATCTACCAGAAAGTCTATCCGGGGCATTGGGTAGGCGTCCGTTGGGCACGCCTTGTTAAGGCTTGTGTAATCCACGCACATCCTCCAGTCGCCCGACGGCTTGGGCACAAATACCACATTTGACAGCCAGGTAACATAAGAAGTTTCTTCCACCAAGTTAGCGCCCATAAGCTTGTCCACCTCGACCCTAAGTGCTGCCTCCTTTTCCGGCGATAAGTTCCTACGCTTCTGTTGCACGGGGCGCCTGCCTTCCTCAATCGCTAACCTGTGCACCGCTGTTTCAGGTTTGACGCCCGGCATTTCCATTGCACTCCACGCGAACAGCTCTGCGAACTCTTTTAGAAGCGCGATGAGTCCTTCCATCATCTCGGCAGGCGCCTCTGCCGAGATCCTAACGCACCTTTCTGGGCGCCCTTCCCCCAGTGCTATCAAAAGGTCCTCATCGGCCGCCTCGGCTCGAGGCGCCTCGTTTTCCCCCACCTCCATCACATTGACTCTTGCTTCGACGTGTCTTCGCTTGCGCCTCGTCTCCTTCGCGTAACGCGGGGCGCCTCGGCCTCGGGCCACGCCCACCCCTTGCGGGGCGATGAACTTCAAGGTCTGATGACAAGTGGAGGCCACCCCATTAAACAAAGCCAGGAGCGGCCTTCCCAGAATCGCATTGTACGGTGAAGGGCAGTCTACTATCCCGAAGTCTATGGCGCGCGTCACCCTTTGTTCCCCATCTCCCAACGTGACGGGCAGGCATACCCGCCCTATCACTCTGGCGGGTGCCACGGAAAAGCCTACTAGCACCGACTCCAATGGTCTGATCATCTCTGGTGATAGTTGCATGCGCACCACTGTATCCTTGAACAGTACATCCATGGAGCTTCCCGTATCGACTAGCATTCTCCTTACCCTGCATCCGGCTACTACCCCTTGTATCTCCAAGGCGTCCATGGATGGGAGCATACACGCCTCCTCCGGCGCCTTGTTGAAGCTAATGTCGATCGACTCCTGCACATCCGCCGACGCTGCCCTCAGCCGGCGCTTCGCTTCTATCTTCTCCCTCAAATCCATTGTCCCTGAAATGGCTTCGATCGTCAGGCGCACGCGGTCAGGCGCCTTCTCTTGGTCCAAGTCATAGGGTGGTGGTGGCGGCTCCTCCCCTGTTTTCACCACTCCAGCCACACAGGCCCTGTGTACTCTTTCCTCGGGTTTTTTGATGAAGTCATTGAGCATTCCTCTGTCCGCAAGTCCCTGCAGCTCTGTCTTAAGTTGATAGCAATCAGCCGTGTAGTGCCCAATCTCGCGGTGGAAATCGCAGTATCGGTCCAAGTTCCGCTCGTTGGGTTGCCCCCGCATTGGGCCTGGCCACCTGATGTGGTATCCCTTCTCCTTGACGTGCTGAAGCACGTTCTTCAGGGTGTCGTTGTACTCGGCGAAGGGCCCAGCCCCTCTAGGCGCCTGGCGCCCCATATCGTTCCTCCTCGGCGGGGGCTGGCTTGCGGGCGCATAGCCCGAACCACTCGTTGGGTACTGCCTCCTCGGCACCTCGGCCTCCTCCACTCGTGCCTTCCTCCGATCTGCCCTCCTGGCTGCCAACGTCTCCTCCAGCATAATTACCTTTTGCACTCTATGATCCAGATCCTCTGTGGATACAACATCTCTCTTCGCAAGCGCCCTGCATAGCTCCTCACTGGAGGTGCACTCATTCAGACACACCCCCAGCACGGCAGCACCGATGGCTGGGCATCCTTCACTGCTAAGGCCACGGATAGCCACCTCTCGTAAAATTCCCTTGATGCCTCCCCCTCCTTCTGCTTGACCTTAAACAGGGCGCCTATGGTCAAGGAGCGCCTTTTCTGCTGGCAAATTTCGCCAAGAACATCGCTGCGAACTGTTCGAAGCAGTCGATGCGCCCTTCACCGATCTGATGATACCAGTCGAGAACCACGCCCGAAAAGGTGGACGGAAATACCTTGCACAGGGTGGCGTCCGTGCTGTTATAGAGTTGCATTTTGGTGAAATAACCGTTAAGGTGGTCCTCGGGGTCTCCAGTTCCGTCATAGGCTGGGAGTGGGGGAATGTTCGTTCCGGCTGGCTCCGACAATATGCAACACGCCAGAGGCTGCCTCACAGGGCAGTGGCGTGAAAGGCGCCCCAATATTCCTCCATTCCACCCGCTAGCGTCTGGCGCCCCGTGATCACGTGGGCGCCATAGACCGGGACGCCTCAGGCACCCCGATTCACTCTCCGTCTCTTCCATCCTTTCTCTTTTTTTTGTCGGGCTAGGCGTCATCCCTTCACTCCTCCTTAAGGCGTCCACTTCACGCCGCAGCGCCTCGATCGCCTCGTCTTGATCCTCGATGATCCGGAACAATTCTTTTTTCGTGACTGAGGCGCCCTCGGATCCCCGAGACACGCCCTCACTTCCTTCGCCTTCTTCCCCCTCGGGCGCCTGCCCTCTCATTCGCTCCGATTGTTCCTCTGTAATTTCTTCCCTCTCCTCATTCATCGGCGCCTCTTCACTCATGACTCAAGGCTATACTCCCCTTCCTGGCGCGCCAATTGTTTGAGACTCGTTACCCTCGTACGGCCCTCCGATCTCTTCTCTTACAAGGCGCTAACCTGCACGCACGAACAAGGAGGGGGCGCCTGGGCCCGTTAATCCTCCGACGCCCAAGTTAGTTTTCTGGAAGAGAGAAGTGTCTCCAAATCCATGTTTAGTGAGAGAGAGTCCAACCTGTGTAAATGCTACCAACTGCCCCTATTTATACTTACCAGAGTTCGAGGTTGATCCTCTCTACCTCTCTGCCTTCATTTAATGCTTTGTCCCTTTCTGGCCAGATATCCCAACCACCTTGTCAGACTCCTGGCACGTGACAGGCGCTCGCAGACGCTGGACCACATGACAGTCTGGCCTTCTTTGGCTTCTAGTGACTTGTCTTCATGTGACCTCCCTTTTACTTGGGCCTTGCCCCCCCAATTGGGCTGTTTGGGAGCCCAAGTTGCCGCCCATTGGGCTTTGCTCCTAATACCCCCAACAGAATCATTTATTAATTTTGTGGATATCTCTCACAAATTCATTTATGGTTGCTTGATTGATGATATCCCCATGGGCCATGAGTGATGGACTGATGATATTCCATGCACAAAAGTAGATTGAACTCTTTTCTTTTAATTTGTTGATTTTTCATAGTTGATGGTGAATAATATAACTAGTTGAAAAAAAGTTAAAATCTAATAGATATTATAAAAAACAGGTCGGATTATACTCATGTTTTGTTCAAATAATATTCTCCCTACTGCGATTCAGATTGGATAAATACCCAACGAGATTGACTCAAATTGCTATCTCTATCTCCTGCATTATTCAAATAAAAAAAGGCTCAGTCTCCTGAAGCCTCATAAGTTATAACATGTCACATAGGCCCGCTGTGGGCCTGACTACGCAATACACAATATTCTCTCAACCCAAATTTAAATGAGCCACATAATGGCCCAGATAATTAGCAGACTGCAGGGCCGAAGCCAACATATTTCACAATCCCTACTAGAAGCTGCATTTCTTGGTTGGGCGTCCGTCGTTGATCTTACTTTCTTCTTTTTTTACAGTTGCGTTGAAGATTTAAATTCAGGATGTGGTGAGTCAATCCCTTGAAGTTGTTGATATGTTTTTCCCAACTAATGATGCAGTTAATTAAGTTTCCAGCGGTTCCCTATTGTGTTCCATTCACCACTCAATGTCTTTCCTTGGAGACATGTGATAAAATTGGAATGACACCCTCCAATATCAGGGAAATGAATGTTGCATTGAAGAAGAAAAGGACAACAATACGAGGGACAAGAACGAAACAACAATACTTTGAAGCATCAAATGATAACTAAGGCTCAACAAACAACATCCTTGACACTATTAGCCACAAACCACAGTACCTTAACATAAACACAACAACTTAATTACTCTCTCCCCCTCTCTCTCCCCGCATAATCCTTAATCCACAAACAATGTCACAATCCCCACCCTCTTCCTCTACAAATGTCACAAACACTAGACAATTATAATGTCTCTAAAACAACAACGATGCAACCCATATCAAGCCAAAGCTCCAGAATGCAGTCCATGCCATCATCCTGCTCCCGTTGTTCGAGTTCGACCCTGCCACATCAACCAAACGCACAAAACAAAACGGTCAAGTAAAACCAATAAGCTAAAAATGACTGATTAGTTTGAAGAGGTCATTCATGGCGAGCTAATTAAACTATGGCTTAACAAAAACCCTTATTTTAATCAACTGAAATGAGGCCCGTGAGGAATGAGATCCAAACGGGATCTCTAACGAATTGTATACTTCCTCCTACTCCCAATCAGGCAATCACGGATCACACTGCCTAAAAGAAACCTTTGGGGAATTAGGACAATCAGATGTAGACAGACAACATAACTTACTGCCACGGGAATTATTGAAGTGAAAAACAATTATGGCGCCGAAAGAGCAAATGCCATCGCACGATGAAGACAAAAGCCTGGCGTTCAATTCTATATATAGGGTTTGAACTTTGGAAGTAAATGAAGAGGAAGATTAGTGGCACGTGGACCTCTTTTCTCTCCCTGGCAGAGACCAAATTAACAACTCCACAAAGGAGTCCTCACATCACATGTTCCTTGAGCCTAAATGGCTAACCAACAAGGGATGAGTTGAGACTGAGAGTTGACACAGCACAGCACAAGTTCAGAATAGTAAAAAAAAACCGTTTCTGTTTGCCCAAAAGAATAATGCAGCGTGGGTTTACTGTTCGCATTTCCTAACAAATCTAGAACGACACACACGCCAATTATGAGTTCAAGCGATCGTATTCTACTCTGCTTCAAACTTCCTTTCATACCAAGAGAAGCATGAGCTACTCTCTAACAAACTGCATGACACTTGGGTATATTTTTTTTTTATCTTCCGTAAACGTTTCTTTTCATTTTGTTATGGTGGGAGTGGAATGCATGACCCATTATGGCTCAGAATCGAAAGCCAATCGAATTAGTATAGGACCGGATTGAAAAATCAAGCAAATTGAAGGATCAAAACCATATATTAAAAACGATTTCATTCAGTTTGTTATAATCTTATCAAAGTCGAAACCAAAATTCTTAAAATTGAGAAACGGAATCCAATCTAGTACTACCTCTACCATTTAAAGTTTGACTGAATTGTTGGTTAATTCCAGCATTAATATTTGAAAGGAGTTTTTTTTTTTAAATCCTTACGCAGAGCACATCTACGGTGAATATAATTAACACTGTTTCTTTTTCTTTAGGGGTAAATAACACTGTTGTTTTCCCCTAACTGTCCCTTTCTCTGTCGGATCCTAGCCCTTTGCAGCAACCCGTGAGAAGGGTATAAAGGTAATAGAAAAGGGGTTTAGAGTCATTAATTGATGAATACTTTTGATGAAGAAGAAGCTTCATTAATTGTTTGCTTAATTATTCAACGTTATGAAGTCTGGCCAAGACCAAGACGGGTCGTCGAGAACGGCCAAAGATCCACGTCCGGTGAACGGGTCTTAATCTATCTAACTAAAGGAAAAGGAAAAGTAAACTGTAAATTCGAAGAAAATGAAATTCCGTCGACGGGGAAAGAATGAAAAGAAATTTCACCTGCTGGTGGCGATGGAACAGCGCTGGCCGTAGGGGAACCTGCTCCTCCGGTCGTAACTGAAATTGAAAAGTTACATTCGAATCAAAAAGTCGATCCAGAGAAATTCCATCTCCGAAAACGAAGCGAATCCGACAAATTCGCGATTCCGGAAAAAGCGGATAAGCTTCAATTGAACCTTTACCTTTGCTGCAAGAACTGGTATCGGCGCTGATGCCGCAGCGCGTGGTGAGACCTAAGGCCTGGGTGACATTGATGCCGAAGGAAGCAAGGAGTCCCGGAGTGTTGTAGAGGTTGCAGAGGCAAGGCAGCTCCGTCCTCACGGCTTCCTTGATCGGATCGCAGCAGCTCGCCGGCGGAGTGACGGAGGTGTTGCTGATGTAATTTGCGCAGGGGATCAGCTTCGACGCGCACGACGGGGTGTTGGTGCCGCCGCCCTGTGCTTCGGTGACGGTGGTTGCGGTGGCGAGGAGGAGGAGGAGGACTGCTGCTGTCATCGCCGCCGCCGTGGTGGAAGCCATTGCTTTGAGGCCGGAGGGTGGATTTTGGGAGTGGTTTGCTTTATGGATCTGTGTAACTGAAGCGACGGAATTGATGGCGAGGCTGTGTGTTAGTTTCGTGTCTGTATTTATAACCGCTTGGTGGTGGACTGGTGGTGTGAACTGTGAAGCAGAGGTTGAGTAATGAGCTCCGCTGGCAGAGGCGGACGAGTAAAGAGAGGCCCCAATTCGTGGCCCCACGCGACTCACCTGCGAGTCTGCGACTGCTGGTCAAGAAATTGGTTCAATTACATAATGATCACTGTACTTCCAGTGTTATGCGGAAATCGTGCTATTGAACTTTCATCTTGACAAACTTATGACAGAAATTGATTTGTCCTATCTTTTGTACAAACTTTCACTGAGTAAATCTCGACAATTTGGACGTGAAAGCTATATAGATAGTTGAAGCCATTGTTGTGTTAATTATGTCAAATTTTTCAAAGTTTATTGCAGATTAAGTTTATGAATGCTTTGGTATGAACCTAATTTTGGTGAGATTTATGTAATTAACCCTACAGGTATGGTTATTAAAAGACGAATTCAAATTCAGATTTAAGAAAGAGCCTCTACATTCAAAATAGATGAAGAAATTTCAACTTTTTATTTTATTTAATAAAGTTCAACAGTTTCTAGATTCACAAATGTGAAAATTATTCACGAAATTCGAATTTTAGAGCTGTCACTGTAAAAGACCAATTCCCCTCTGGACACTGATGCTTAAGCATTAAGGTGTCGTTTGGAGAAAAGGATTTGAGCCATGGATTTATAGTATCCATAGATTTATTAAAAACTCATGTTTTTTTGGTAATTTTTTTCTCGTGAATTCTAACTTTAATGATTTAAAATCTCTGAAATTCAGAGATATCAAATCTCTCATAATTAGAGAGATTTTGTATCTTGATTTGAGAGATAATTCTTTCCCAAATATATCTCTTTTTTTTTTATTCCATCGGTTACATCTTCTATATATATCTTCTTCTTTTGGACTTCCCTCCACTCCTCAAAACAGCGGTAAACAGAAGCAGCACCGTTCAACTTCCTTCCTGCAAAACCCATACACTCGTTGCTGCCTATTCTGCCGCGAAACTACAAGAAAGCAAGCTATAAAAATTGCCATGGCCGACACTGGTGAAGGATGTTGCACTTACTCATCTTTATTATCAGCTCCCAACAGAAGATGATCAATTGACCTTTCTCCTTGAACTCACTGATTGAATTGTGGCCTATACTATGACTCGGGTGTGATGTTTCAGTTGACTATGTTGCTATGAGTGGGATGAACCACTAGTTTCCTTTTTTTATTTTTGTAATCTGCAGACAAAATGACTACAGCTTGTTGAGAAATAGTATTTCCCATTTTATGAAGCTTGCAACATTGGTCTCCCCCTTGCTGCAATTTTTTTTATTATGTCATTTTTTGTTATTGGATGTTAGGGTAATTAGGCACATGTTTCATTTGAAAAGACAATAGTTGGCTAGGATAAACGTATTGAGAAAAAAAACAATTGTGAATATTTTTTTCCCCGTTTGTTGGTTAAGGATCAATATGTAATTTTGTGCAAAATTAGAATTCTTATTTTCCACTAAATGTTCCAAATCTCAATTACCAAACAATGAAAATTTTAAAATCTTTTTTCAACAATCCATAGAGTTAGAATCTTCGGATTGTTTAGAATCTATGAATTTAGACTCTAATTCTCCAAACGATCCCTAAGATACTACAAAAGCCAATTGTCAAAAAAGATACTACAAAAAGCCCATATGCAGACCCATGGTCCTATGCACAAGAGTCCGCTAAATTTATTTGAAAAGCCCAAATGCGCATATGGGCCCCCAGCCATTTGATTGGACTGTACTGCTAACCGTCCGAGATGCGAATCCCCAAGCATCAAACGTACGGTTAATACTTCCCGCCATCGGGAACACCGCAGCAACAAATCAGAGCCTCTGAATTCTCATAGAGCAGATAACGCTATAGCAAAGAAGAGCCTCATCAGTCTCCTCCTGCTCCAGAGCTTCCCAAACGGCCACCAATGGCCGCTCTATTCGGCGTATCCTCAACTCCTAGTGCCGCCTTCGGAATCCGTACGATTCCATCGAGAAGAACCAGCTACGCCACGAGAATCTCCTGCGTCGCATGGGTATCATTTCACACTCACCACAATTTCCTTGCCGAAATCTCTTCTTCCGCTGAATTCCGGATAAGCTCGCGATTGCTGATATTTATCTCTGTGTGGCCGTTGTTGAAGGTAGGATCCGGAGGGATTATTAGGGGCACAGAAGACTACGGGACACTTAGCTCGCCTCGAGTTCAAGAGACGACTTGAGAAGGACGCCGACGCTCGCGAGGCGTTTGAGAACCATGTCCGCGAAGAGAAAGAGCGTCGCCGAGCACTTCGCGAAGTAAGAAAAAGAATCAAGTTTGATGGAATTTTCTATTAGCTCGGTTTCGCCCTCTCGTGTTGTTTTGTGATTGGTGAGGTTTGTGACTCTTGTTGTTGTGGTTAATTTGATAGTCTCGGGCAATACCTGATACTGCGGCGGAACTGATAGAGTACTTCCTCGACACTGAAGCTCAGGAAATCGAGTTCGAAATTGCCAGACTTAGGCCCAGGTCAGTGCTTCTCTAATTTGCAGACTTTGTGTTTGTGATTTTGTCTCTATGAAAAAATTGAATTCGTGCCAATGATGAAAAGTTTGAATTCAAACGTCTATTTTAAGTAAGGGATTCCAGTGCGCAAGTAGATGTTTCCACTTTCCAGTGTTTTGTTTCTGTAGCCAGTGACCATTATTATTATTATTTTTTTATTTATAATGATGATGAACTTGTATTAAAAGAAAAGGATCAAGTTAAACATTCTCCCACAAGGAGGCATTTGAATGTTGTTTGGCTCTCATTTCTGAAGTTGGGGATGATTCCTTCTTGGACATGTCCACTTAGTGTTTGTGATTTTGCTTTGAAAGTACAGAATCAATGGAGTAACGAAATTGTGAACCTCAAGCTTCTCATTTTCCTTGGAACTTCACCGGGTCCTGTACCATAGCATAGGAGATTTCACTATTAGAATTCAATTGGCTACAGTTCCGCGAAAGTTCAAACTGGCTTTTGCTGTTGTAATGAGCATTGTGCATTGCCTTTTATCCTGATGTGTCGAACTCGAATATATTTGGACCTTTGCTACTGGTTCTGCTGAGCAGCCTCATGTTATAAAATTTGATGTTCTAACATGCTATATTTGCAGACTGAACGATGACTTTTTTGGACATCTGCAATTTGAACTTGGACAGCTTCGTTTTGCTGTTTCAAAGACTGAGGTGTGCTTCAAATCTGGATGAAACTTCTTTGACTAAGTTGCTTGCATACACGACTCATGTTTTCTTGATGCATTTGAAGGACATGGAGGACAGAGTGGTTGAATTGGAAACCTTACAGAAGGCACTGAAGGAAGGAATAGGTTCTTAGTATACGTGCAAACCCTTTTATTTAGAGTTGACTTTTTGCTTGCTTGGTGCAAACTTACCCTGAATCCTCGCTTCTTTTGATTTACAGAAGCATATGATCGGATGCAAGGCGAGCTTGTAACAGCGAGGAAAAGCTTAACCACAATCTTGACATCCAAGGACATTAAAGCCACGGTAATTGTTTGTATTCCGTCAAATTATGAAAATCGATTGTTTTTGTTGTTGAATACTCTAAGAAGTTCACAGTCACACATACTAATTGTTGCCTTTGTGTGATTTTCAGCTATTGGATATGGTTGAAAAGAATGAACTCAATAGATCCTTATTGACACTTCTGGATGAAAACATTTCAAGTGCCCAAAAAGGCAATCAGGTAGCATTTTCTTTGCCCATTTCTTCGTTTTTTCTGTAGTTGTGGCTGTTGGCCTGTCTTTGTGAGTTCTTAGGACTTGTCTACCATGTAGTTTCTTACCTAAACCTCTCCCTTGCCAGTGTTTTGTACTTGATATATTAGAACTGCATGAGAGATAAATGTGGAGGGATGGATAATGAAATTGTTGAAGTATAATCTCAGAGTGGAATCTGAACGAGCACCAAATGGTAATCACTTCAGGTCTACTTCCCAAGAGAAATCGTAATAGTGGACTGGTTCTGTTCTTTAGTTTTGCTCTTGTGACATGCTGTAACCATTTATAATCATCGAAAATGGCTGATATAGTGATATCAATCATCATAAACGTGAATTCCACACCATGAATCTCACCCTTAGAATTAAATATAATTCCTTTTGAATTAACTTTCACATCTGAAACAAGATTTACTGAATTCATTTCTCTCCTACCTACACACCAGTTAACAGCGGTTGTCATTTTTGTATGGACAACTTTGTTCCCTCCTGTGCAGAAAGAAGCAGCTGATTTCATGGAAAAAATCCGTGGGGCTGTTCTAAAGTACGTGACTGTGTAATACTCAGGTGGAAAACAATACACTACTCTCTCTCTCTCTCTCTCTGTGCTCATATCTGAGTTGGGCCAGGCCAGATTTTGTACCAAATGGCAAAGCAATGGTGGTGAGTTATACTCGCTTTCTGGAAATTAATGTGTAAGCTGAATTGGGATCTGCTGCATTAATGTTACTATTTTGGTCGGTTGAGCAAATGCCTACTGGTTCTTTGTATAGAATCGTGTGCAGTGCAGTTGCTATCTGTTGGCCATGTGGTGTTGGCTCTGCAGCCAGTTGGAGGGGCAACGGCTGGCTTCTCCAGCTGCCGACTAAAATGGTTTCACGGTGATCACGTGAGTGTCCATCGAAAGAGAAAAAGGTTAAAATAATTTTAAGTGTTGGCTTGGAGAAACCAGCTTTTCTAGTGTAAGCGGAAAAACAAGTCTCCAACACATGTCATGTGTTCTCTCTCTTTTGCTTCACTCTCACGTTTATCTTTTGTTGAATCTACACATAATATAATACACGAAAGGGAAAAACGGGAGCCCATTTCAAATTTCCTGCAATGAGAGTGAAAGTAGGAAGAACATTTTGGTCTTCACAATTACTTTTTTTTATTCATTAAAAAGATACATACTGGGATTCGAACCATGACCATTTTAAAGAAAGGCAAAGATCATAACCAATCACACTAAATACATTTATTGTATTTTTTTAAATTAAAAACATATAATAGCAGGGTGGGAAAAACTCTTCCCCTATTTCAAATTTCCTATTCCATGAGCGTTTGTAGGAATGGTGGAATAGGGAGTGTCAATTTTTTTCTCTTTCCTCTGTGGAACGGGCCAACTTACCGTACACATGCGGATTTAAACGGGTCCAGGAGTGTCAATTTTTTTCTTTATACCCTTTTATTTCTCCGTGGTGATAAAATATATATGAAAAGGCAAAAATAATACTCCTTTTTATTATTAAAAATAAAAAATTTAACAATAAACTAATGCATGGTATCTAATGGGCTAACCGCTAACCATAAAACAAAAGAGTTGAATGAGCCTGACCTACATGGGATTTGGTCATCAAGTAAAACAAATGAACATCATTGGTTTGCCATTCTAAAACAAGCTATTTTCTCTGACATAATATATATTATGCTATTATTTTATATCTTAGTGGCTAAAATATAATGTATTTTAAAGTTATTCAATGGTTCAACCTCGACCAACCCAATTAGTCCAATTTTTATCATTTCAAATATATATTTTATAATTATTTGACATCATAATGATCAAATTATATTGTATTTTATAGGGAATCGTTTGGTATTTGTTAGTAAAAAACTAAACATAAAGATCTATTTGGTTATTTTAAACATTAAAACGATCCTAAACATTTTCAGTTCCTTTTGAATTTATATGGTTTTATTCCCAAATAAGTGATGTGCAAATGGCGAATTGTAGTCGTCTCTTTTCTTTCACTATTTTTTATTTTCAAATAGAAAGTTTAAAAGTAAAGAATAATTAGAATTTGACATGGGTCGGTCAAACAGGTTGAATTTCAAGTATTGGCCTGTTTGTTTTATGCATTGCAAATTTATTAGCATGTTGATGGAAATGGCTTGGAAAAAAGACATATAAGTTGTACCTTTGCAGAAATGTCCTCAAATGTTTGAATGCTTTGTGAATCAGGTTCTGTGACTTTTGTGATGGTGTATGTGCTTGACGATTGCTCGATGTTGTAACTACTTAATTTGAGAGTAAATCTTTTGATTTTCCCTATGAGTTGTGATACCAGTTCTGGTGGTTGCAGCATATTGTCGTTGTTGGCCTGTAAAAGTTGTTCCGTCGTGATGCTAAATACCTTTCATTCTTTTTTAACAAATTGTGTAGTAGTGCTATGAAACAGACCACCCATGAACGCTCCGCTTATTATGGTCTGTTCTTACTTCCGGTGGTGAGAAATTGTGAATTGAGAATCATATTCGCCTACCGCACTGTGTCTGGTTGGTGGCTGCTTACTATGCTCTCTAGAGTTATGAAACAGACTACCCATGAACGTTACCCTTAAGAGTCCATAACTTTGCGAAAAACCAAATTTAGGCAATCAAAGGTGGTGGATGTTTGATGATTTTTTATGGCTTAATTGTTTGTGAATTGGATATCTGATCTTTGTATGATTAGAGGGGATGTTTGCTTAATAGAATAATCCATTTTAATTCATATTTATTTTTAACATGAACTTTAGTAACTCAAAACCTTCGAGACACATATCACCTACTGCATTGTATCATTTTGCCTGGGTGCTTGCTGTGTTGTCAAACTTCTTTGCTGCTGCTGCATTTACACTAACAGGGGAGTTAAGAACCCATGAATGTTTCCGTTTGACACAAACAAGAGGACTTACTTCTAAATCGTGCACTAAAGATGATTGGAGGAAACATCTCTGTTGCAGTTGATACACTGGAGACCAGAACAAAAGCAACGTATAACATCAAAACCAACCATCTGAACTATTAGCATTGTTGCTTTACTCTTTTTTCGTGGTTGAGTATCCTTCAAAAAATTTAGTTTGATTTTAGAAAATTTTGCTTCAGCAGTCCTGTCTTGCCACCAACGCGTTCAATAGATGGAGATGGCAGAGGCGAAGGCTATTTTTGTGTTGTTGTTGCTGGTTTAGGGATCGGTTTGTGAAGAAGAGGGAGAAGAGAGGGGGAAAGGGAAATGCATGAGAGGGGGATAACTCTTTTCTCTGTCAAAAATGGAGTGAAGAAAGGAATTATGATCAGTAAGGATATGGTTATCTTACATAACTGTGTCTATTCTGTTTGAATTGAGCTTGGGAGGTAGTGATAAGGACGAGCTGCAACCAATTCATAGTGATAAGAGTGCTATGAACTGTGATCATGTATTATTTCAAGTTAGAAGGTAGTTTCAGTATAAGGATTATTTAATTTGACAAGTTGTTTCGTCCATGATTTTTGGTAGTTTCACTGCCATTGTAGTCATTGTTTAGTCTGTAATTTTTGAGAATTGATGTGCGAGTAATGACTTTCACTTAGCTTCAACTATTATGTGTGTATTTATTGGCATGTGATAGAATTCTCTTTTCCTTTTCTTTGATATCAGTTTCATACTCTAATTGTATCATTTGTACATAGGCAAATCATGCTCGAGATGACAACTCGCAGATATGGCTGGTGCAAGGAATGAAGCCATCATTTAAATTCAGACCGACAACGGGGAGGGATGCCTAGGACTAATTCAACGATGATTGACGATGGTATGATAAAAACTGCAGTCTGCATCAGCACTAATTTCTAGGACTAAGTAAAGTTATTCAACCCAGAACTCTGCTTAGCGCTAAAAATTGCCCTCACCCAACATTGATCCTGTTTGACCCACTTCTGAAGAGTCAAGATATATTACTAATTCTCTCTGTTCGTATTTTCTTATTGACTCTTTCTGACCCTTTAGGTTGGGGCGGGTCGGGAAGAATCAGATTAGTGGGTCGGTCCTAATCAAGTGGAATCACAATCCCTTCACTCTCACTTGCTTTCTCTCCCATTTCACAAGTGGGTAACATACAGTAATCCGGCCAACGGGCCGGGTAATAAGCTAGTAGCTTGTTATGATGCTCTAGATTAGAGGGCTGGTTTATAACGATTGTTGATGACGATGAATCGGGTCCTTACAAGTAGGAATGGTCAACAAATATTTGGCAACATTGGGTTGCGAAATGCAAATTGCAGGTCTTTCGAATTATGCGCACTTTCTTTTTGAAAAAACAATCGTGTTCTTCCTAATTATCTGGTTTTATTTCAAATCGGGTTGATGGTTTGCATGAGAATGACACATTGTATGAGTTACAACTTGGTAAACTCCAGCCCAGTTTTTCAAATCTTTGACTTGGTATTGCTAGTCAACCTCCATCTTTCTAACATAGCAAATGAAGACCAGCTATATTGTTATTCTGGAGCTGAGCGTGAGGGTCAAATGAAGATGGAATCAGAGCTAGCTGTCGGATCAAACTATCTTCATTCGACTTGTTTATGATGATTTTTAAATGAGCAGTCTAAGAAGGAACCATCGAGAACCCTTTCTTCTTCTCGCTAGCTGTGATCATGTGGTGAATATTTTTAGTGGCAATCTGGTAGACAGGCTGTGTCTCTTTGGCCTCTCAAGCAATGTAGTCAAAATTGCGTTTTAAAATTTAAAAACCTACGATTTTACGTTTCTAGGTCACTAAAACGCTTCTGTACAAAATCTCAGTTTTTACCACTTATTTAGTTAAAAACTCCGCTTTAAAACTAATAAACTTACAATTTCAAGCTTCTAGATCACCAAAAACGTTTTTACGTAGAAACTCACTTTTGACTACATAGCTCTCAAGTTGAAGGGCCAATCTGTTTGAAGTTTGAACCTCTTTTCACTTATTATTATTATTATTATTATTATTATTATTATTATTATTATTATTATTATCTTTATCTTTGAGTCAATGATCACAATCTGATTGCGTTTGTCTACTTAAGTGCCTAATAGTTGAGTGTTGACTTTGTTTGAACTCCTCTTTTGTTTAGTGTTTAATTCACAACTTCATTGTCAGAGCTTGTCCTCTGCCTCCAAATTTGAACTTTTATTGAAGACATTTTCACCCGTGGCGGTGTCATCTTCTCTGATTAGGGGTCAAACTAATACTATATTCATTAGTACTAGTTCCTATTTGTCTTTTGTGGGCCTTCGTATTCGAGTGATCGAGTCTCTATCTTACTCTGCTACAAGTAATTCCCCATTGTTATGTCAAAAAAAAAAATCTTACTCTGCTAGTTAGTGGCTTAGTGCATTCAATTATATAATAACCTTCTTCTTATACAACCAAGCCAGCCAGCCAGCTATAGTAGAAGTGATTGGGAATTGGATTACAAGATCCAACACCACGAGTTGGTTTGCCAATGAATGGCCGGTGTGATTGGGAACTGGGATTCGCCTAGTTATCTCCCCTGTCCCTAGGGGTGTCAGTTCGGTTTTTCGGGTTTACCCGAAATCAACCCGATTATATACATTTTCGGTTTTTCGGGTTCGGGTTTGTTTCGGATTTTTCGGTCTCGGATTCGGTTTTGCATATCGGTTTTTCGAGTTCTGGCTAAAAACCTCCAATGAATAGAACTCAACCCGTATTCTTAGGGGTTCGAGTTTTCGGGTTTCGGTTGTGCTTTACCCGAACCCGATAAGGAATTTTTCGGGTTTCGGGTAACCGGAACCCGCAAGTCCTTATCGGGTTCGGTTTCAATGATTTTCGAGTTTTTCGGGTTTCGGTTCGGGTAACAGAACCCGACCCGAACTGACACCCCTACCTGTCCCCCACACATGCAAAGCTTCCGTTGTGATCATGTTCTTATCTAGTATGATAATGGAAGGCACTACAATCACTCAAGATGAGATATTAAGTATATAATCATGTGGGTAGCAAATAAGTGTTGGCTATAATCGTATCATCATTGTTGGTTTTCAATTTGGAGGTCTTATGTTGGTTTCCTATAGCTAACCCACTTTAATAGCATGTACTATCTCTCCGTTATGGTGAGAGTTCTTGTGTTGTCTCCTGTTCTAATGGTATCATTGTTGGTTACTAATTTGGAGGTATCAAGTTCAAATTGTATGGTGAATTTCTTATGTTTTTTTTTCTTGTTGTTTTGTGTGTTTTAATATAATGAGAAGGAAAGTCTTACTTGGCTCAAAATTATCCATAACAACTAAGAAAACAAGGTGATTATAATTTTAATGCACTTATGAGTTCTTTGTCTCCCTTTCATGGAAGCTACTGCATTATTATTTGTTCATCTCACCCAAAAAGAAAAAAAAAAAAACAGTTCTTTTGTGTGCCAATCACCCACATATTGAATAAGAACATATTTGTCCAACAAGACATTATTGCACTTTTCATGTATTTATCTATTAAAGTAAAAAATAAAACTTACAAGTTCATGACAAGATCACACCATTTTTAACGATCTATAATCTTGACTAAATTATTTGGTCTATAATTTTTTAAAACGATCTAGTCTACTTCTAGCTTTTCTAATAAGTAATAACTCACTTCCACCACCTGTATCTCTCATCCAACTATTCCAGCAAACAACGATTTAACAAACCCAAAAACCATCCAAAGAGATGAAAACCAAGAGGAAGCAAAGCATGTGGGCAGACACAACCTGTAAATGAATGCACGAACCCTCGTGGAACCAAAGAAAGAGATCAATCACCCCACACTACCATAAAGTCCATAACTCTCACTCCATTTCCCCACTATATAAACAACTCCACACCACCCCCGAAATCTCCAAACCAGTAGAGAAAACAAACAAACAAAAACCCACCAAAAGATGGCAAAATCACTCATCCTCCTCCCCTCTCTCATCATAGCACTATCCCTCTCCACCACCTCGGCCGCCGCCGCCGCCACCTCATCATCATCAGCCTTCATCGACTCCTCCTGCGCCGCCACCCGCTACCCCGACCTCTGCCGCCAATCCCTCTCCTCCTACGCCCGCACCCTCCAGCAGAACGACCACCGCCGCCTCGCCCTCGCCGCCCTATCCGTCAGCCTCGCCAAGGCCAAATCAGTCTCCTCCTACGTCACCCAATCCGCTGAGCTGGCATCCAAAAATGCCAACACCAACCCCTCTGTGGTCCAGGCGGTTAAGGACTGCACCCGCAACATGGGCAACGGGGTGAACCGGCTCGACCAGTCGGTCAAGGAGCTCACCGTCCTGGACGGACTCGAGGGGGACAAGTTCGAGTGGCACATGAGCAACCTGCAGACTTGGGTCAGCGCGGCGTTGACCGACGAGAACATGTGCGTTGAAGGGTTCGCGGACCGGACCATGGACGGTCCGGTTAAGGTTGGGGTCAGGCGTCGGGTGGTTTACGTGGCTAAGATCACTAGTAACGCTCTCGCTCTGGTTCAGCGGTTCGCGGCGAAGCATGCTCGTGTCGGCCGGCATCATCCTTAGTTATTAATTAATAGACTAATAGCAGTAGTTAATTAGTGTTTCTTTTGTGTGTAACTGTATTAATCACTGTCGTCTTACAAGTAATAAAACAAAGTAGCCTTTGTTTGCTATGTTTAATACTCTGCCTTTGAGCATCATTTCGTTACCTTTTCCTTTGCAATCGATGATCCTCATCCTATCATTAAGTACTGCATTATATATGGTCTTATATTTATATGTCGGTGATGCGTGTTGCTTTAACTTTTTTGTTTCAAAATATTATAAAGATACAGCATTTTATATTTTCAATGAGCACTTGTTAACGTTTGACAATTGTTGACCGGTCTTAGCTTCATTGAAGAAAAAAAATATTGATTTACTAAGAATCAATGCCTTGTTAAATATTAAACTTTACTGATGTAGATGGAGCCATTTCCAACATTTTGGTAAAATGGAGGAAAACATTATCATCTTTACTATCTTTTTTTGTCAAGTTCTTAAATTTCATTCATGACGATTGCAATATAAGCACAGCCTATTGCAACAAATGAGAGATTAAGTCTAGAATTTGGATATACTCATAAAGGAGAGAACCTCACGATGTCTTTATAACGACCCAATCAGCACATTTCTTGTTCATCTATTGTAAATGCCACTCTAATTTGGTCGATTTGAGAAAGAACCTGCTTCATATATAATGAATTCAGACATGCACTTGCCATGACCATGATCTACTCCGATCTAGTAAGATGTTGATGATGATTCATTACCAGAAAAATGTGTTTAGTGTCGATTAAATGAACCGACACAAAATTAGGATTTGTATCAGAAATTTGTGTCCATTAAGTAACCAACAGAAAATTTTGTTATCAGAGTCGGTTATATGTTGTGTCGGTTCTAACAGACACAAAACTTTGAGTTGCGTTGGTTACAACTGACACAAAATTAAATTTCAAATTTTGGATTTTGGCTCAAGATTTTTTAATCACCTGTACAAACCTCCTCCCCCCCCCCCTAATATTTCAATTTTGGGATTTTACCTAACTCACTTCGAAATTTCAACCCTAACCGCCTAGCCACTTCCATTCTCCCCCCGCACTCGTTTGTACCTACATTTTTCCCCAACAAAAATACAACTTCATCTTCTTTCCCTCTCCCAAAATCATCCCAATATAAGTGCTTCCTGCTTCCTCGAAGTGGTGGTTACTCATTCAACCGCCTAGGTGCCTCTCTTGGAACCTTCGTGGGTCTTGGTCTCTTGGAGTGTAGCTTACCTCACCGGGTCTTGTTCCAAGTCTTGTGCCATGCTAGTCCTTTGATAAGCATGCAGTGTCTCACAAAGGGGGTCGTGGTCCTCTTGCCTCACGATCATGGACTACTTACTCTTGGGAGTAGGCCGGTTAATGGTATAACCGGTTATACCGTTAACCGGCGGCAAAATTTCTATTGTTGGTATGCTGACTCCTTCCCGGTTAGTAACCGACGGTTACTTGGTATATGGATATACCGAAACTCACCCACCCTTTACTTTCCCTTCTTGCAAAACTTTCCTTTTCTCTTCGTCTTGTCTTCTTCCCAAATTGAAAGACTCTCTGCAGAGCAAGGAGAGCATAAGCAACAGCCAACTAGCAAAACTTACAAGGCAGAGCATATCCGACGAGAAGAAGCATCAACAGATCCGACACGATTTTGCGAATTCGGCGAGCAAAAGCAGCAGCAAATTTGACGCGATATTGTAGACCGACGTGATTTTGCAGATTTGGCGCAAAGACTCTCTATCTCCATTGTGCATGCAGTCATCACTTGTATGTTCGACCGTCCATAGAGGTGTTGCGATGGCGATGAGGGTAAATCAATTCCCTCCTTCATCTTCGAGGCCACTGAATCTCCATATTTGGCTAAAATCGGCAACAAAAGCCTACAACACCACAAGCCCCCAACCCCCAATAGCTCCACCATGCATTTATTATGAGGAACTCAACAGCTCCCACGACGCGACGACGACATCTCAGACTCGCATCGGATTTATTTCAAAATTCCCATGGTAAGGAAGAAGGGGGGGGGGGGGGACACGCACACTTGGAGGTGGTGCATGGTTGTCGTCAGCTCGTGCCGTAAGGTGTTGGGCTAAGTCCCGCAACGAGCGCAACCCTCGTGTTTAGTTGCCACCGTTGAGTTTGGAACCCTGAATAACAAGAAAGTTTGCCCCTCCCTCGAATTTATTTTTCTTTTTTGGGGGGAACTGAGATTGAACTTTAATGTGTCTCGCAATTTCAAATTTCGGGGGAGGGCGAATTCTTCATAAAAAATTGTGTCTTCCACCCTACTAGTCTTCACCATCTCCGACCATCGCCAATCCCCGCCTCAACTGCGGATCCTCCATCAATGATCTTCACTACTCCCAATTGCGCAACAGAGGAAAATAATTCAGCCTGATGCTATTGAATTTTGCAGGATAGAGGTTGGAAGATTGGATCACGACCATCCTTTGCATTTTTTTGTATTGCGAATCAAGTAATCGAAGGGAGACGGAGAGAAGATGAGAAGGATCAGAGAACGTACTCGATTAACCGGTGCCAAGTATTTAGTCCCTCTTGCTTACCAGGTATTCTGATAATTGCCACGGTAACCGTTAACCGGTTAGTTGGTTAACCGATCATTACTCTGCACTGTTTGTCGATGACAACTTTGGGCATTTCGGTGTACCGCTAACCGGTACGTCGATAACTCATTTAACCACATACTGACCAAATACCACCCTATTGCTCATGTTCATGGCCTTCTTGCTCACGGCCATGGATCTCTTGAGACTTAGACACTAGTGATATAATGCTTCACCACCACACCCTTCTCATTCGTGTACATGACCCCTCTCGTGACGCGACATGGACTTCTCAATCATGCACATGACCCTCTCGTAAGGCGGCATGTCCTTCCTAGACTTAGTACATTTTGGGTCGTTCGGTCTTGGTCATGAGGCGACATGGCCTCTTTATTTGCGGCCATGTACTTCTCAATAATGGTTGTGGCCCTTCCCATGACACGACATGACCTTCTTATGCTTAGTATTTTTTCAATCGTGCCTAGGACCTCTTGTCTCGCGTCCATGCCCCTTCTCGTGAAGTGGCATGGGCCTTTCAGACTTAGTCATTTTTGTCTCCTTTGAGAGATACTTCTCATGGCATGGCTTCTTGACCTGTAACCACGTCATGTGCTCTTCATCGCCATCACGATCCATGCATCAACTCGAAAACAGGATTGAAACCCGATTTGACGATACACTTTTCTCAGCACGATGTCCGCTAACCCGCGACTCAAAAAGGACCACCATTGAAGGATTATGGCTTTGAACAGGGTTTTTTCTTCTCCGGCTAGTCGTCCATGCATCACACATGGGTTCCTCAAATCACATCTCACGAGGGTACTTATTGGGTAAGGTATCCTGCCGTCATTTGCTTGGATGAAAGGAATTTTGCGGCGCGACTTATTCCTCACGTCTATGGTTTTTTATTATAAAATCTCGTGTGTGACATTACCTCTTACGAAAGGCTCATATCCTTCATTGAATCATGTCCATGCTTATTGTGTCTTAGGGGTCGTTTGGAAGTTGATATTCTTCTAATGCAGTGTATTTGATGAATACATCTATTGTAAATACAAAGATAGTAAGAATTATATGATTGGAAGAATGTCTTGTTTGGTTGTAGTCATTCAAAAATTTTAAAGAAAAGAAAAAATCTCAAAGGAAGAATCTCACATTTTTGTTGAGATTTAAAATGAGTGATTGTGGGTGATAAGAGATTTGAGGGCCCATCTCAAATGCATGTATTGAATAAAGTTTTGGAACAAAAAGACGATGAATTCTCCAGAATACATGAATTCAAAGAATCATTCATCTAGAATCATAATTTCCGAACGACCCCTTAATGATTTGGGCTTAAAATCAATATTCACTATAAATTTATTAATTGTCTTGTAACTCATCAAATATTATACAAGATTATTTTAGGCGTAAACATAAACTTATTCACCACATTCGAAATTTGGTTGCCGCCTGTTCTTCTGTTCGGAGCCGTCGCCGCACTTTTCCCCCTTCCTTTTGAACAGTTAGTCGTGAGTGGACTCGGGTCGGGTTGGACAACTCGCTACCTTCCTCTAATAATACTCCACAGTCTACTGTGTTTCTTCTTCTTCTTCTGGTTCCACAGACAGCTAGAGAGAGAAAGCGATTATGGTAGAAAGGGAGAGATTTTATTTGAATTCAGCTTCTAAATTATTATTATTAATTTTTTTTATTTCTTTTCTAGTTTTCTGCGCTTGCATTATATTTTCTTGCCGTTGCTGTGTTGACTGTTGACCACCGGAACTGTGGAAACGAATACGACAACGTATTTTCCACGTCATCGATCCTAGCCTCATTTCTCTTCCGGTCATCCTTGGTTTGGACGGGCCGATTTCCATCTCCGCTAAATCAACACAGCAGGGGGCAAATAAGAATTACGGAAAGACGGATATACCCTTATCACCCTCTCATTCACGCCCACGCCTTTACCACCTACCCAACGCTTCTTCTCTTTTTAGTTTTTTTTCCCTTAACCCTAATTTTATTTTCCCCCATAAATTATAATTTTTCTTCTTTTGTGTATTGGGGAAAAAGAAATTAAAATCTTTCCTTCCTATCTCTCTCTCCCACCCTTCAATTCTTATCTTCTCCTTTCTCTCTCTAGAAAGAAAACCAACCCATGGATCCGCATCCGCTCCACAACCCTCTCCAGCAGTGGGTCCAACCTCCTCCGACCGCCGGCGCCACCGCAACCTACTCCACCGTCACCTTCTCGGACGCCGCCGGTCTGCAGCCGCACAACTATGTTTCCCAGCAGTCTTTCCCCAACTTCCCCCCACAAGCTGGACCAACACCAGTCCTTTTTGCTCCTTCCGCTGCTTCAGCTCCGACTCCGACCTCCACCCCCTCCACTGTGCAAGGTCCGGCTGGATTTCAGCCCAGCCGCCACCCTAACTATGCCGAGGTAACAAAAAGAAAAAAAATCACCTCACCGGGGATAAAACCCTAGTCCAGTAGCTCTGAAGAACTTATAATACTAAAATTTCCCCTTTTTCAATTTTGACTTCAAGAACCCTGATCTGTTTTTTTTTTTCCAATCTATTTTTGAAATTTTCTGGTTTGGGTGTTGTTATTAGATGATTTACGCGGCGCTTACTGCGTTGAAAGAACGCGATGGTTCTAGCAAGAGGGCGATAACGAAGTTTCTCGAACATGCTTACCCTGGGCAACTTCCACCGAACCACGCGGACCTGCTGGCTGACTGCTTGAAGGAATTGAAAAGCAAAGGGATGGTCGAAATGGTGAAAAAATCTTACAAGCTGCGCGGATCTGGTTCCACCACCAACATCAACGACCTCCCAGACCTTTCTCTCGAATCTTCCGTTCAACCGCCGCCGCCGACGCAGCAGTCAGCTGAAGGGCCGCTTTCTCCTTCTGTTGGGCCTAAAAGAGGCCGTGGCAGGCCTCCTAAGGCGAAGCCCACAACTACCCCACCGCTATCTGCTGAAACCGTTCTACCCAATGGCCAGCCTGAACAACATGTTTCTCAGCCGGTGGTTGATTCTCTGCCTCCAGGGTTTTCTGCCAACGGCCAGCCGACGACGGGGCATTACTCTTCCTCTGTGGATGGTAATGTTAATATGGAGGAGCAAGTTCAGGGGGCGACTCAACCTGTCACGGTTCCCATTGGGGTGACGGAGGAGGATGGTACTGCTACTGTGAAGAGAGGGCGGGGACGTCCTCCTAAGAACCCTCTGGGGGTTGATGCTAGTGGGCTTGTGATTGGGAAGAGGGGGAGAGGGAGGCCGCCGAAGAGCGCATTGGGACTCAGTGCAAAGAAGAGAAGTCCAGGGAGGCCCAGGAAGCCGAAACCCAAGACCGTGGCAGCTGTGTCTGGAGCTAATGGGTATAAGAGGCGCCCTGGCCGCCCTCCTAAGAACCAGGCCAATTCTGTTGCGGTTCCTTATGCTAACCTTGAAGCAATGCCGTTAGCTAGTGTGCCGAGGCCAAGGGGCCGACCGAGGAAGGGTACAGGCTCGATTGCTGCCGGTGTTGGTGTGGGAGTGCTTCTTGAGAAGCTTGCTGGACCAAACGATGGCATCTCGGAGCCCAGAAGGAGTGGGAGGCCAGTTGGTCGCCCAAGGAAGGTACTTTACACCATTTTGGTGATTGCTTATTTGTGTGCATGCTTTTGATCTGATAATTGTTTGTGGACATTTTATCCAAACAGTGCCCGGCAATCTAAAGGCTGGTTGTAATAATTGGAATTTGAAATTTGATTATAGCAATATACCATTCGTTCACTGAAAATATAATGCTGCATGCACATCAAACATATATTCAATGCTAAATACAAGGATAAAGCAGTTAATTTCGAAATGTTGTAGTTCGCTTGACTGAATTGCTGATTGTATTCTGGAGTTCATTCCAATGAATTTTAGTGTATGGCCATTTTGCTTGATTTAATGTCTTCTTCTTTTGTTGTGTAATAAATCTGATACTTTTGTTCTAATTGCGACTCCTCTGCACTAGATATTTTTTTTATAACACATAAGATATGGAGCTCCTGGGTTTTAATTATGAGCATTAATTGTTCATACATTAAGACTTGAGAATGTTCTTTTGACGTGTTTATTCTTTTTGGTTTGGTAATGATGAATGATGCTTATGTCTCTTTGTAGCTTAAATTGGCCATTAGTTGTTTGTATTTAGCAAAGCAGTGAAATTTCCTCTTTTCTTTGTGGAACCCATATGATAAGATTGGTAACACTAGCATAATTACTACCATAAGTGATCTGCTTAAGCTTTGCAAGGGTAAATGAAAATTAAGAGCCTGCTTTCTTTTCCATATGCTTTCAGAAGTGCAGTAAAACGTCATCCTTGTAATTTGGTTTCTCAAAATAGTTATTTTTGTGATACCGATAAGTTTTCAATATGCTTTTCGTAGTGCAGTAAACGGTCATCACATAATTTGGTTGCTGAAAATAGTTATTTTGTGATACTGATAAGTTCTATGCCCTTCCTGTTTTCTTGAGTAATGGGATAATTCAATTTAGCAGATGTTTTAGTCATCATGGGAAATGTAACATCTACTCATCAAGGTCCTTTTACAGTTAAAATCTTGTCCTTGGCATTTAGATGACATGGATAGGATATTTCATAATTTGTAAACCGGAAGTTTATCTTTCGTGGATGGTTACTCAACTCATTGACCAACTGAGAGGTTGTATGTTACGAAAAGAGCAGCAGGATGAGGTCTAGAATTTTGATATATTTGCATAAATTCCAGATTGTCTTCAGAGTTTTGAAATCTATCGATAAATTTGCAGTAGAAATTTGAGAAAAATGGTGTACAACTGTAACAATTTGCTGTCCTTTGTAATTGGTAAATTTGTTGTTCGTTTTCAGTTTATAACTACTCGTATGAGAGGTATTTTATTTCTGATCCTGTTGGATTGCATATATTTGTCCATTACGTGCTTGTGGAATGAGACTCTATTTTAAGTAAGCTTATTTATGGCAAAGCCATTTCTTTAGGCCATCCACTAGAATTATTTGGAATTAGATTGTGGAAGGTTGCATGAACGGGAACAGTATTAGTCAATGTATTGATAATAGGCTAAATTATAGATTTTCTGCCTCATTTTGGTTTTGGCCAATGGTCAGTGTTTAAGCGTCATATCGTCGGTAATCGTTGTATTAATCTGAAGCTTTCTGAAAGTATTTTTTCTTTGATTTGCTCTCTACATGGTTTATTGATTACTCTTTTTATGCTTTGATCTTATTTCATTTGATGATTTTTTTTCTTGGTGGTGCTAACTCAAATATCACATCTACGTTGATCTTCTGGTGAACTAGTATGCGGATGAATCAGGAGCTGAATCTGATGCACAAGGGGAAGAAGACTACAGGAGGAAACTCGTGTTCTTCGTAAGTGAAAATTAGTAAAAAGTAGTTTTTCTCTCTGTACTCGAAATCCTACACCAACATTGTATATCGTTTTGCAGCAATCACAGGTGAAGAGAGTCGTTGACGTGCTGAGGCCAATGCTGAGTGGCGAAGCTCCCAAAAGAGTGGTCGATGCCGTCGAAGATCTGGAGGGACTTGCGAGCATCGACATCGATCAGGAACTGAAGGAGGAGCTCTCGAAGTTTAACCTGCATCTTCGTGATGTGGAGGCCGAGGTTGGCGAGGTTTAGGAAAGATGAGCAAATGTATTCTTTTGCAATCTGAAAAAGGAATGAATGTGATTATCATCAGTGAGTAGTCGATCCATCCGCAGAGGCTTTGTAAGGAGTTTCTAACCCCTCCCCAGGACAGGAACCAGAAAGTACATCATGTAGGGCTGTAGATTTTAAGAGAGCGAGAGTTTAGGGTTGGTTAAGAACTAATTGTTATTTTCCCCTGTGCAAAAGTATCAGAACATTTGTAGTTTTTCTTCTCTTTTTTAATTGAAGCTGGACAATGTGGGGTTGATTCTATGGGATGCGGATGACTGTAATCAGTGTATCAGTGTATGTTTACCCTCTTCTCCTGTGTACTGTTGTTTGCATTCTTACTATGTTACATCAGGTAGTAGCAGAGGTAATTATTGGAAGGAACTGGTGGATGGGCCTAATTCCTCCTCCCGTTCCAATGATCGATTGATTGATGTGAGCTTAGGTGCATTATTTGAGCCGAGCTTAATTGTGATGAGCATATAAGAGGATCCCACAGCCAATAAGTGTTTCAGTTCTTGTCTCTTCAAAAGATGCAAGTTTTCATGCGAAAGTCCTCTTCTTTTCAAATCACTGATGTTCATGCTGCTGATTCTGAGACATGCAACCCTTGCTTAGACCATGTAAGGGGACTGTAATTATGCGGGCAATGCAGTTTTCTTTTACAGTGCACATGACTTGGGCTCTAGAAAGTGGTGTCCAAGGGAGATGCCAAGGTCGTTATTGACCTTGGCATCGGGGTTAAATGAGATTTCCAATTCAGCAAGATTATTGGAGATTTTTAGTGTATCTTGCTCGCCGAGAAAAGAATAGAGCATCAATCTAATGATTAGAAAGACCCAAACTTTCTTTCCTGTTAGTTTGATAGGTTCGAATTATGTAATCATCCTCGTTTAAAAATACAGGAAAAAGAAGTTAAGGTACAATAGAAATGAACATGGTTGATCAAAATCTTAGCATAGTATTGTAACTTGTTTTTCTCCTTTTTTCTCTCTTTATGGCTCTATTTCCAATTATATGCTCTCCCTCAATTATTTATTTGTACCAACGGCCAAAGGGATGGTAGAGGCATAGTAAGCATTAATGAGGATGACAAGAAATTGTTAGAACAAGGACAAAAAGAAGGTTTTTGGGGACCAAAATCGAGAGTCATCAATCTTCATCGTCCAACTGCAACTGCACTACTCTCTCGACTCTTCTTACAATACTTTATTAATTGGCTCCGAGTGAATTGCACTGATCTGTCTCTGTGTGGCTGAGTGGCAGTAGATAGTGTTCAACACTCAAAGGCAACATTAAAAGCTTCCTTTGCTCCAAGGAAAGCCCTTTCTTGTGCAGTCAGTTCTGAATCGGCCCATGTTCTCCAACTGATTTTAGGAGTTAGGGTTTTAGCAAACTTATTCTGCAAATGGATCTTATGTCCAAAAAGCTAGCTAATGCTATACCATTTGGTTGATTAGAAGGTCATTTGAGTGGGGCTGGAAAGGGGTATCTAATCTTATTGTTTTCTGATTAACAATGAAAAGTAATACACAATATGTTTGTCAATACGCAAAGAATGACCAAGAAATAGAAGGACGAGGAACAATACTTGTGAGAAATGAATAGACTCGATCTGAGGCCTTTTGTCGAATTCAACTAATAGAATGTACAAATATCAATGTGTACTCAGTCATATCGCGAATAAAATCGTAAAACGCAAGCCAAATCCCAAAATACAGACTTAAAAGTCCCATTAGGTTTTCTTGGCACATGTATAGCATGATAGAACCTCAATTAATTCGAACAATTTAGTAAGAGTAGAATTGGGTGGTATATTTGGTTTATTTGAATTTCAATACGTAAATGATTCTGAATTATTTCTCACATTTGAAAAAGAACCATAATAGAATTTCATATTTTTCCAAATCTCTTCTCCGTTTCTATTTCCCTCTATTTTCCTCTCAAATTCTGTCCTCAATTCCTCCCCTTCTATCGTGTTGCTTAATTACTGACGACTCTCATATGCTTCATTGGGAATTCCCAAAAACCTTACTTGCGGATGATATTTTTCCAACCATCTCTTTGGTACAAAATACAAACAGAAGCTACAACCTGCGACTCCAACAGTTGAAAATAGCACACCAACTTACAGGTCAAACAGTGATTAACATAATTGTAAGCTGAAAAGGATGTCAAATTGCAAAAGAAATTAGTTGAGGGTAAAACAACAGTAAAAGGAACAAAAACCAAGAAATGGAAACATCGGACCGCTGGTGAAATCAATCCCTTTGTGTTGGTCCTTTATACTCATAGTTCAAATCATTGATAAATTGATAATAATAGTTTGAAGCTGTGCTTCTTGCCTGTATATATATTTATTATTTAGACAATAATACACCACACTACTATTTCTTAAGAGATGATCATGGTTTTGTATGAAAGTTGTGCTTAGAGTCGTCTTCATAGCTCGTTTAATGGTCTGTACTCGTCAATTTTACCTTGCTAGCGTTTTTTTTAGTCTAAATTTTTTATATATTCACATACTAAGTGTGTCGGTGAATAATTAGTTGAGTCAAAGTCGAGTGTAAAGAGAATCGTCAGTTATATGTGTTTGAGTGTTTCCGTATGATGAAATGTTAAAATACGGAAAACCTTTCTAAAGAACCCAACGATTGGCATCCCTCCCAGTTGAGGAACCTTATTGAGGTGGAACTTAGAAAGTATCCATCTCTTACTAGGTAGTAACATGTTGAATAGCGATACGAGAGCATGGGATGTGTGACTTCTATGCTGATTGTTCGGTGTGTTTATGGTACAATAGATTCTTCATAATCGTATGTAGAAGGTTAATCCAAGAGCTTGTAAATTTCAATTAATAATTAGTAAAAATTTTGAAAAATTTAAGCTTAAAAATTTGTGATGCAGTTTACAACCTCTGTATCCCTCACTTCATTGCAAACTGACTATGAAGTATTACATGTACACAAAGTCAAAGATATATTATAAACATGCATTCTATTTATTTGATTGTTATAAATCTATCCAAAATATTCAAGAATCAATTGTTCTAGACAATCTCATCAATCGATTGAAACACACCATATCGAAACCAAATCAAAATACTCCAAACAATTGATCAAACTTAAAAACAGGAGAAGAATGTTGTGGTCATCCGATATGGGATAGGAAGCAAAGGGAAAGAAAGGCCAGCAATGGCGGCTTGGAGTAGCTTATTGTTAAAGGAATGACATGGGTTTTGGTTGCTTGCCTGCTAAAATTATGGGACAGATATTATGATTAGCGTTTGTTAATCGTAATTATGGGGTATCGTTCCTTTTATGGGGTATTCTGTTGGAATATGTTGGGAAGCGGTGATGCTTTTTCGCTTTTGCCGGCCACAACCACGAAACCAGAATTATTTTATACGCTTGCATGTAACCAACAGTGTGCAACTTTCTTTGTTATTCAGACATTGTTTCCTCCTCCACATTAAATAATTAAGAAAGAGGTCATATTGCTGTGTCTCAACTCTGAACACATACCACTGCATCCACGCCATTTTCAGACCATGTAATTGTGAGCTTGTTTATTCAAAATAATCATTCTGGCGTATGCTATTTGCCTGTGTTTGCGATGAACTTTACCCGCATAGAGTCGACAGACAACCATCGAAGCATTACCGATAGTTTAGGATGTTGGGTACAAGAGGGTTCAGATGCAATTTACTTCAAATTGTGTTGGAGCAACCATCAACATGCAATAGCAATCAACCTGTGCACGAATTGTTTTACAAAGTCCCATTTGTCCTTTTTTATTATAAAGATACACATGAATTAGTTTTTATTATTATTAGGTGCTATTTAAATAAGAGAAAAACAGTTTGGATATAATTTTTAAATTAGTCTCCACCCCATGTTTTTTATTCGCGATTGGTTTGTCATAAATGAAGAGAAGATAAAAAGTGTTTTATATTTATTTACAAGAAAAAAAGAACGTTACTGAGACTAAATAAACGCTTGCTTATGAGATTTTGATTATGGATTTGACACCCAATTTTCAAGCATCGAGAATTTTAACAAGTTCATTGTTTGTTGGGTAAAACACACATTCCATTTGGAATTTGTTAATGAATGGTAAAATTTGTGCAAAAAACTATAATTCATAATACAATTCAACCTAACAAACAATAAATTCTTTTAAATTCATAATGCAACGCATGTTGCCAAAACTAAAAACTCAAAACCCATTTTTAAATAAATAAAAAACAATAGTTCTTGTAGTTATACGAATAAGTGGTCAATTATCAAAAGGATTAGTTCACAAATCGCCCTAGCTGAGTTGTAGATATGTATTGATTATGCTTAGCTATAATTAAACACGCGGCTGAAAAGCATGTAATCCACTCCACTCCAGTCCACGATCCATTCCAATCAATCAAAATCAACATCCCCACTCGCTAAAATTAACCTCTACCAGTTATCAAAATTGAATATTTCCCCCACGAAAAAAGGGGAAAAAACAAAAATGGTTGCTTGGATGCACCTAAACTTTCCTGCAGCAGTAGAACGAGAAATCATCATCGATCTAACCCCGGAAGTCATTTCCCTCCGTATTCGAAGCCACTCTATAAATTAGCTTCCCCTCCCCATTTCTTCACAAAGAAACCAAGTACCAAAAAGGAATAAAAAACAAGCGATTTCCCAATCCCCTGTTTTGGCCGCAAGAAAAACAGAGTATACAGAGAGAGAACAAGGGGATTAAAAAAATGAGAAGTTTGTCAGTAGCAGCAGCGATTTTCGCTGTGGTATTATCCACCAAATTGATCAATTCAATCCTCGCCGTTCCCTCACCGACGGAGGCGGAGCCACAGCGTCGGAACCCAAGTGCTGATTTCATCAGAACTTCCTGCAAATCGACGATGTACCCGATGCGCTGCTACAGAACCTTGTCCCCTTACGCCTCCGAGATCGGGTCCGACCCGAAGAAGCTGGCGATGAAGGCGCTGAACGTGACCCTGAAAGTGACGAAATCGGCGTCCAAGCTGATGAAGAGGATGTCCAGGATCCCCGGCGTGCCGGCGGCGCTGGCGGACTGCGTGGAGGAGGTGGAGGACGCGGTGGACGAGCTGGGGAAGTCGATCGGCGAGATGGACCGGGGCCCGGCCCAGGGACCCGAGTTCTGCCGGATGATTGGGGACGTGCAGACGTGGGTGAGCGCGGCGGAGACCGACGACGACACCTGTACGGACGGGTTCGAGGAGGTGCCGACGGTTTCGCCGGGGGTGAAAAGGAATGTGAAGAAGATAGTGGAGAAGCACGTGGGGAGAATTGCTCGGTTCACTAGCAATGCTTTGGCTCTGGTTAACCTCTATGCTTCTTCTTCTTCCAGGTCTCGTCATGTTAAGTGTTAGAGATTAGTTGATTTGATCTCCTTCTATGATTACGGATAGATATGGTGCTTTTTGTGGGGAAAATTACTGCTTGGACTTTAGTGAAAAAGGTAAAAGTTGGGGTTTTGGCCTTTCTTGATGAATCAAACCCTCCATCGAATTAGTAAGTTAGAAATAGAATCACAGAAATGTATTTTGCCAATCAAGCTCTGTTTTTGGGTTTTCTCTGCTATTGTGGGAGTTCTTGTCTTTTTGCTTTCAATCTTGTGGGTGGAAGTGGAGTAGGTGTTTGATTTTATGTTCGTGTGTGGCTATGTCGGTATAATTCTATATCATGCGATGTAGGTGTTGTATGAATTGTAATTAGAGAAAGAGGATATGCCAAGATTTTGATTGAAATGTTTGGAATTCGAATTTCATAATTTATCATATTAAGAGTTGGTTTAACAAAAAAATATAGTTGATATATGCAAATTTTAGATTCTGGTGTTGACTTTCATTTGGAAGAATCCAAACGCTGTGGTACAAAGTGATGATAAGATTCATTTTACAACTTCTCCCAACAACTCGAGTTATTATAATTACATATTCTTGACATGATAACAGAGCATCTAATAACCAATAAGGTTTATGCTTGAATTTCCACCATATGGGAGAATGGTATAAAATATATTATGATTGCTCTCTCTAACAACTCTAGAATAAGTCAGTTAATGAAAATAAAATTTATATTTGTACATCTTCTAAAAAAATTGATTTATTTAGTAACATTGGTTGGATCTGAAGTGTGAACATTTTAGGTTTTACATGATATGCTATTATGAGAATGTATTTATTTTCATCCAACTGAGTACTTTTGGCGCACTTAAAAATACCACATAGTTGAGGTTCAAATGATTTTGTAATACTAAAACATTATGATTGGGGTGAATCTCAATTACCTTAACAGTTGCTCTAATACTCAAACATTGATTCAGCTAGTGTTTTTTTCATATACATCATCTACGAACTTGTTCTCGAAAGTGAACCCGTTTCGAGCGATCCAAATATTCCATAATCAGCATATAATCCTCTTGATCACCTCATCCGACACATTATCTCGAAGGGAGAAGAACCACTCCGCGAATGTAGTCTCGGGTGTCGGTGGGATGGACAGACCTCCAAAGCACTCCCATGTACTCTCAGCATGCTGGCAATGAAAGAACATGTGCATGATTGACTCCACCTGCTGCTCACAGATGGGACACATCGGATCTGTCAAACACATCCTTGAAAAAAGACGGGCACGAGTCGCAATTGCACTTTTTGCACTCTTCCATATGAAGAAACCAAGCTTTGGGGGGACTAAAAGAGACTAGAGCCATTTCCAGTCTTGCCTATTGGGGTGAGCCTCATTTGAACCTGCAGACAAAGACAAAGAAGTATGGTCTCTAGCTTCACGCAAAGATCTATAAGCTGAACTTACCTTGTATGCCCTTGTGGTTGTGTACTTCCAAAACCACTTATCTTCAGATGTAGAGGGGCCGATTGGAATACTCTTGATAGTCTTAACCATCTCGTGTGGGATAGCCTCTTGTAAAGCCTCCACATTCCATTCCCAGGTTGAGGGAGAAATCCAATCACAAACTCATGATGGTTCCAAATTAAAGCTCTTGAGAGTGAACGTTGGAATAGATGATAACCATGGATCACAATGAAACTTCGTTCCTTTCCCTGACATAATCCCTTTAACCCATCCAATCTTCAAAGCATCCTTGGCATCACAGAAGCCATTCCAATCCATGATCCTTTTCTTCCTTTTGAAGTTGAATACAAGTCCCCATTGGTAAAGTAGAGACCCTTAAGTAATGGCATCATTTCCCCGCCCTTAACGACTACGTTAGCTGAGAAAGAATTTCTAGGCTTGGCTGAAACCCCTCACCACCGCCTAGTGCCTTTCATAGGATTGTGCACTGTAATTGGTTCCTTTGTTTCTGAATCACAGATGGCGGCTTGTGGGATTACAGTTGCTAATTCCCATGGTCAGGTGTATGACGGCAAGGTTGAGAGATTATTTTGTTCCAATTCGATGCAGGCGCAAGCTTATACCATTCTCAATGCAGTGATCTTGGCGGTTCGGGAACAATGCCTAGCTTGTGTCAAATCTTAAGATTTTGGTGAATGCTCTTAAGCTTGTTCCGGACCAGTGGCCTTGGCAATGTTGGGCTTTACTTGCTCATGTCTCAACCATTCTCGTCTCGGCTCTGTGGGTGAAAGTGATGTTTGTTCCTAGACGTCACAATCTGCTAGCTGATTGGGTTGCTCGTAATGCTAGATTAGATGCTCTCCCGCGATATTGGATCATTATTGCCGATCGATTGTCACACCTGTTGTAATCAAATGTACTTCCACTGTTTCGATTTGGAATAAAAGTGCCCCAATTTATTTAAAAAAAACTACGAACTTGTTCCATATACATGACATACTGAAAATTATCACCAAAATTGTCAGAACAGAAGCGTGCAATCGATAATCCAAACCAACACGAACGAGCACAAATTTAACGTGGTTCACTAACACAATGTGTGCTAGCTAATCCACGGGCAGGGGAGAACAAATTTCACTGATTTGAGGAGAGTACAGGTTACAAACCAAATTCCAAACGGACAAACCAAACAAACTAACCTGACTGACCTTACTACAGACTAGGGTGATGAAGAGTATTTATAGAACTCTTCTCCTAATCCCAAACAGAAAACCAAATACCTTTTTCCCAAACATACAAGGAAAATGTCAAACAAAGCCCAAACACAAACCCAAACAAAATAGGTCCAAAACACAAAACAAACTCAAATCAAATTCAAGTCATATTCTAACAAAAACCCTAATTCACGACCATGTAAGACAAAAACTGGTAAGTTATCAATCATCAAATATCGCCAAATTAGTTCTAAGCTGCTAGCCTCATAGCTAGAGCCTGAACGTGCAGTCAAGTAAGTTTGAATTGAAGATTCCTATCATTTGTTTCTCATACGAGGTTCTTGTAATGGTCATGGCAGCCTGGAGTAGCTCATTGTTTAAAGAAACTGGGTTGGTATTGCTTGGGGTTTTCTTCCCCTGAAATATTATGAGCTATTTGTTATTATGTTTTGCGAATGTATTCGCGGGACTTATTTCGTTTGACGGCCACGCCTAGAATTTATTATTATTATTATTATTTATTATGATGTTTCAATTTATTTTGATAAGCGACTTTTCGAATATATACGAATACGACCCAAACGTATACTCCATGAACTGTTTTTTTTTGGTCGGATACTCCATGAACTGTAATAACTAATAATAATAAAAAAATTGGAATTTATTATTTGACTAAGAATTTTGATTTTAACTTTGTATTAAGTAATAAAACAGTTTGTATTGGGCTCAATCTCAAAGGAGTAGTAAACTTAAAATATTAATGCTATGTAGGAACTCCACTATGGATAGTTAGAATTCTACTAGGTTTAGAGGGCGAGTTTAAAAATAAAATAAAAAACATAGTAGCCAACAAATTCAACTACGCGTAACTCCACTAATACTACTACATTCTTATAGTAAATGGTTTTCATGTTTCTAAAAAATGTAATTTTTCGAATTTTTCTCATATCAACTTGTAATCAGCTATAAATGGCCAACCCAAAATGTAAGCTGATTTCTCTCCATACCGCTTTCTTAATTACAATCCATCATCCTAAAAGGCCTAATCTATAAATGAAAAGGTTCAGAAACCAAAAGAATGGATTATTCCGGCAGAAATTGTTTAAATCGAATATGAAATCACTAGAAATTCCATTTAATTGGTAAGGCCCCCATGTTTTTGGCATCACTCCCATGTTTTGGCAACTAGCTCTGTTACTCAAGAAATAAATATAAGTGAACAACCATCAACGTATTAGTTTTAAAATATCGGTTGCTTAGGTGTCGATATATATTGAATATTGATTATGGGTGTAAGTACCTACCAAATATATATCAATTAAGAATACCATTTCAAAGTACGGGAATGTTTATGTAAAAAAAACAGAGGATATATTTGAGAAAAGTGCATAGTATAGTGAACACCTATAACTCAAAAATTAACATAAAATTACTAGCCAAAGATAAAAAAAAAATATTATCTACGGAAAATACAAAAAAAAAAAACAATATGCTACATGTTATTCAACGAAAAATGTTATATACTGGTTGCAAAATAAAATTTATTTTCATAGTTTATTTAATTAGCGTAAGACATTTTAAACATAAGGACACACGACAAAATTATCCAAATAAATAATTTGAAAATATTTATATTGTAAAAATTTATATTCTCAAATATCTATAAATGACTCATTTAAAAAGTACAACAAAAAAATTAAAAAAAAAATTATTGGTGGATTCAGTTCGAGAGCTATGGATTGATTTGTAGAAAATGGTCAATTCAGACCAAACCGACCTGGCGACTCATATACACCCCTGGTTACAGCCTTAGAGGATATCATCCTCGATCTCACTCCATTCTTTCTTCTTCCTTCTCCTTATTCAGACCCACACTCCCTTCCCTGCCCTATAAATTACCCTCTCATTCCCCTGTTTTGATAAGCAGGGGAAAAACAGAGTATAAACAGAGCGCAACAGGGGAAGGAAAGAAAGAAGAAGAAAAATAAAAATATGAGAAGTTCGTCAGTAGCAGCAGCGATTTTCGCTGTAGTCTTCTCTAACCAACTGCTCAATTCAATCCTCGCCGCTCCGTCACCGGCGGCGCCGGAGCTTCCAAACCCAGGTGCCGAATTCATCAGAAATTCCTGCAATTCCACGCTCTACCCGAAACGCTGCTACCGAACCCTGTCCCCTTTCGCACCCGAAATCGGGTCCGACCCGGAGAAGCTGGCCAAGAAGGCGCTGAGCGTGACCCTGAAAGTCACCCAATCGGCGTCCAAGCTGATGAGGAGGATGTCCAGGATCCCCGGGGCGCCGGCGGCGATGGCGGACTGCGTGGAGGAGGTGGAGGACGCGGTGGAGGAGCTGGGGAAGTCGATTGACGAGATGGTCGGGGCCCCGGCCCAAGGACCCGAGTTCTGCCGGATGATTGGGGACGTGCAGACGTGGCTGAGCGCGGCGGAGACGGATGACGACACCTGTATGGACGGGTTCGAGGAAGGGCCGGCGGGTTCGTCGGCGGCGACGGTGAAGCGGAACGTGAAGAAGTTGGTGGAGAAACACGTGGGGAGAATTGCTCGTTTTACCAGCACTGCTTTGGCTCTGGTGAATCTCTATGCTGCTTCTTCTTCCGGAGTTCCATCATGTTAATTAAGTGCTAGATTAGTTGATTTGATGTCCTTCTCTGTTTGAAGTGAATGGTGCCATTTGTGTTTCTGAGTGTAAATAAGGTTTGCTTAATTGTACATTTGTACTCGGTCTATTTAGTATTTGTAATCATTTGAAGGTAAAAATATGTGTTTTCATTCTTTTAAGGGCGTGCAAAAAGTATGTAGCTTGTTTAGTGTTGTTTTCATTTGATTTTGTATTTTGAGTTGTAAGAAAGGATAAGAGTGAAATATGTGTTTCTTTTATCACTTGAAGGGACTATATAGTATATATTTGTCTAGTTTTGTGTTAGTGCAATATGAGTTTGCACAAAATGGTGTATGTGTGGTATAAATTGTGGAGGAGATGTAATACGGTATTTTTGTTTTTTACTAGATATATTTTTTAATTTTTTTTCCATTGATATCATTATAGATCTCTTTCAGAAGAATGTTTCACCACAATTACAATTTTTCTAACTTTAATAAGCGGTGGAGACGGAATAATAATAAATTTGATGATGATATAAAGCTCTATTTGAAGGTGTAACCCATCATAGTCAAGACTCATGATCAAACTCTTCATTGTAAAGCATTGTTTGTCAATAATGAATAGTTGTCATGATCAAACTCTTCATCAGAAAGCATATAATTCATCAATGATGAAATTTATTTCGGGGAAGTTTAATATAAAGTTGTCGTATTCAACCATGCACTACTTTTTTTTACCGAGATAGATCGCAAAAGAGAATCGAGATTTGATTGAAAGTAGAAATTAATATATACTAGTACAATATTAAAGTTTGTAAATGGCAGGTCACATCTTCATGGTTCTGGTTCGTACTCAACCTGTCAAACATGGGCACGCCCTCTCATTGAGAGTTTCAATGTGGTACAAGTAGCCCTAAACATATATTCTATTATTGGCCCTAAAGCAATCCCACACGTGACAAAAGGGAATCTCATTCATTAATTTAAAAGAAATGGAGGAAGAATATTATGAAAAAAGCCATAAAGTATTAATTCTTAGCATAATTTCGTGTACCAGTTGCATGGGGTAGATTTCAATATCTACTTATACATCCTACTAAATCCGAGCTATACAAAATACGGTGCTTATGGCTTATCTAAGGTCTAATTTACAATAATAATAACAACTATATTATATTATTTCACAAAAAAAACCCCTATAAAACATGGTGCTTATGGCTTATCAAAGGCCAATTTGCAATAATAATAATAATAACGATAATATATGTTCCACAACATCAACAAAAAAACTATAATATACATAACACGTTAAGAGCATCCACAACAATGAAATAACAAAGTCAATTGTATCTGCGGTCACTATCGCCACCTCAATAATTTTTATAATCCAACCCCATGTTAATTTCACCATACCTGAATCAGTGTAATTCTCTTACAATTTAAATTAGTGGGCTCAATTGATTTTCGTTATAGAATATAAAGCATGCGGCTACAGAAATCCTACCATCCTCAATTTTAGACTATTATGACTTTCATATTAGATTGCATTTGTTTAAAAACCGAAAATATACAATGGTAATCACATCAATACAATTTGATATTACAATTGTAAAAGTGCGTATCATATTATTTGGCAATTTAAAATGCAACATCAAAGTAAATGCTCTAATGGATCACAATTCACAAATTCGCAACCACTCTTTTTTCTTTGTCCTGCATTGCATCCATCCATCCGATGGTTTGTCTCAATGGCTAAAAAAATCACAATTTAGCGGCTAAGGCGGGTTGGGAATCCATCTGCTCTGCTAGTGTACTTCGCCTCGAGTTTGGTCCTCCTAGCCAGTTAAGACTTACGAGTAGGGCTGCAAATCAGCCGAACTGTTCGCGAGCGGCTCGCGTTCGACTCGAGAAAAACTCGTTCGAAACTCGACTTGTTAATAAACGAACCGAACACGAGCTCACCTTTGTTCAGCTCGTGAAGCTCGCGAGCTAGCTCGGCTCGGTGGCTTGTTGAGCTAAACTCGTGAGCTGGCTCGTTTAGAGCTCATGATATGTCTTGACATGTGGTTAGAGAGCCAACTCGATTACCAACTTATGGACGAATCAATCTATATCTTATGATTTTAATTCATATGGTTGTTAAATTATCTATCTCATATATAAGTTTAACACGTTGAGTTTGTGAGCAAATATATCTTATTTTCTACTTTAAAAAGAAATTATGCATCATAAAATGCTTCGATACTATGAAATAACATGATTTGGAGTAGTTAAAATTTATTAACTAAATGATATATGATACCAACAAAGTATAATATGAGATTAGCTAACAAAATAAATCATATGTATTATGATATACAAAATGAAGTATCAAATAAAAGTTAAGATTTTAATAACAAGCTAGCTCGAGCTCGACTCGATTCGTTAATAAATAAGCTCGAGCTCGACTCATTTATTAACGAGGGGTAAAACTCGACTCGACTCATTTGCAGCCTTACTTATGAGACGTTTTGGTTTTGTTGGTAATAAATAGCGATCCTTGTCGTGGGCCTTTCGTTTGATGTCAGATCACAGATGGTCATTTAAAGCCCAATTGGCCCCATTCTTATATGGTCCACAGAATCGCTACCATACCCGTGCAGACAGACGCTAGCCACCTCCGTCGTCTTGCAGAGGGTTCGTTGTCGTTTCAATGGTAATCCTATTCGACCAATTATATCGATTTTCATTTTCACACTGCTTAATTTGTTCCGAAACATTGTTCGAATTCGAAGATATAAAATACAGATTCTGAGATTAATAAGTAAGGTCCTGGGAGGGCAAGGCAAGTGCCTCCAGGAAACATAATAACGAGTACAGCCAAACCGACGAAATTTGAAGAGCCCACACTTGAAAGATAAGATTCTCATATATATATATATATACTAGGTGGCGATGCCGCATCTTGCCGCTGGCGGGATGGCATATGAGCATGTATTATGTGTTTCGTTATGGTGTTTTGTTAGTATTATTAGCCTAAAATTAATTTTTTGTTAACAATTTTGTTAGTAATATTGACTTAACAATATGATATTAACTAAGAAGAGATATATGATGGTAAACATCCAATTTAAAAAAATAAAAATTTTGGCTAATAAATTATATTTACCTAGACCCAAATAGACCCATGGGTAGGGTATGGGTGAGGTATATATGGGTTCGGAAGTTTGTTGATGGGTTTGGGTAATGTATGGATATTTACTTTCATAATCTTAATGTGTATGAGTTGGGTATGAATACCCATTTATTCGAGAGTATTTTAATTACACACAAAAATTAGACCTATTTGTAGAACTTCAAAAGTTTAGGTACCAAAATGTAATACACAAAAATTTTAGGTGCTAAAATGTAATGTTCCATCAATATTTTGAGGACTTATATGCCAAAAAAAATTTTAGGCTGTAAATCTAAGGATCTATCAAGTTTAGGTACCAAACTATAATTTGCGTAGTTGAGGCTTAGTTCATTTTATGGCGATGTATTTAAGATGATAATTATTTACTTTTTTATAGAAAATAGGAAACTATTTATTTGATATGTGTAGATACCTAGCTAAACATTCCATGTATAATAGTTGAAAATTCTAGCCAAAGAAAAACTCTAGAGAGAATCAAAAGGAATACAAACTGGAACTCGCTTAAAATTTCAAGTTTCCAAATCTCATAGTGGAAAATGACGACTTTCTAATAAGTAATAACCATATATATTTATTTTTAATTAGACTTGACAGTACATTGAGCTGAAAAAGTTAGTGGTTCATGGTTCAATTATTAATTCTCTAGACTGTTGGTGAGTCGTGTATGGACCCGATCATACTTGTGATTAGAATACATAAAAATAGTATACTAATTAGAATTATGAAAGGCGAGTGAAAAATGAAATGAAGAGTAAGTAGATGATGGAAAGGTTTTGACCAATTATTTTAGTTGGCCGTCAATACAACAGTCAACCCATTTCACCGTAGCAATTTATTGACACTTGCTTATGTAGATGTCGCATATTTTGTTACATGTAGTTAGTAGAAGTTTGTTTAGTTCCCCGTAAATGTACTAAATGAGTTTATAAATTCGCTCTTGCAATATTTTAGAGTCGTCTCTCTTTTATCATTTATTTAATGTTTCACGTAATGAGCAATGTCTGACAGTTGAGTGATACAACATCTTGTATTGTACAAACTAAATTTATACTTCTATGTTATGGTGGATTGGATTCGTGGATTGGTTCAAAAGGATTGGTGGATCCGGATTCATGTATTCAAATTAAATCTAAAAATTGTACCAATATGTAAACTTAAAAAAATTGTAGGTACTCAAATCTCATAAAACTTAGATAAATCTAAACATTGGACCAATATGTGAACTTAAAAAATTGTAGGTACTCAAATCTCATAAAATTTAGATAACAAAACATAATTGTTCAATGATTTTACACTAAAATTAAATTTGGGTATTAATATATATATATATATATATATATATACACGAGTTTGCCCGTTTGAGGTCTACATGTTCTTGAGTTGAGCTCTTTGAACTTGGAATGATTAATTACACGAGTTTATACGTCCTTTTATGATCTTATTAAAAACAACAACAATATGGCATATTAAGTCGAAGTGGCAGTATGTTGAGTTGGTATGATTACTGTAATTGTTATTGAGCTGGCAAATCCTTTGCAAAAAATAAAACACAGTTGTCAAATCCTATTGTAATTAAATTATTACTAAAAAAATTCAAATTAATCTAATGGTTACCAGGAAATTTCTGCTGCAATGTGCAAAACTAATCACGATTATCTATAGTACTGTGAATAGAAGGAAATCATCATTCTGTACTGTTTTTACGTTAATCAATGAAAATTAATTATTTTCCGAAGTCAAACTATTACATTAAATAAGAAAATAGATCCCCATTGATTTGAAATGAACATTAATTTTAAGTTTATTGATCAACATTAAAGCCCGATAACAATAGTTAGCTGAAAATATGAATGCTGAATTAGTTACACATATTGAAGTATCAGTTGATAATGTCCTCAGTACTGTTATACTTCTGTTGGCATGTCGTCATATAGTCATTTCACATAGTAAAATCGTTAAAGTTAACAGAAGCCTCATAATTTATGACTGGATTTTGGTTACCTCCGTGGATTTGTTTGTCATGGGAAGTTTAGGGAGATGGACGGTGGTTGAGCTAGATTGGTTGTATTCGGAGGTAGTAGTAGAGTTTGGAGTGGATGTGATTTTTTTCATTTGTGACGTCAAGAGAGGAAGAATTGATGAATTATATGAATCATATGTTGAACGAGTTATTTTTTGTTTTCTTTTATTTTAAATACTTTATCGTTGTTTTTATCACTTACAAAATTTTACCAAATAAAGCTTGATGGCATGATATTATTTAGTCCACTTAAGCTTTTATCGTGAGTGGAGTGATCCATTCTAAAGCTCCCGTTTAATATTATTAGTATAAATTTTTTAACTATTTAAATGTATTTCTCAAACATGCGGGAATGACAAGTGACATGACGCGTGGCGATTTGAAACGTACACGACGTTCACATCAGTTTATCGATGTTTTCATGGTACATCTAATGCCACC